AAGAGCTTGTGAACACTAACTAGTATTGAAAAACCTGGATAGCTGCAACGAAATCTGACCGGCCGTTTTGTTGCAATTATCGGGGTATTTCAGGTATCAAAGTAGTGATTTTATTGGTTCAGTCTTCCACTGTCCCACTTACATTACTAGTTTAGGAAAAAGATGCGTAATTTTTAAATAGATAATACTTATCACGTGCTGGGATAGTCTAATTTAGTATAAATATATATATATATATATTTTGGGTCTCAAGCAGCTTGCCAATTGTATGAAAAATTGTATGGGAAACCCAATTTCTTACGGTTGCTCGTTGCAAATACCGAGGTTTTTCACTATCTCACTTAGGTGGCTCTATCTTCTAGGATGTACTTTTCCTCGTCCTGTAGGGCATATGAGGCTATCAGTCCAGGTGTACGGAGTAATTGTCTATCTGCTGGCGACATCCTTGTATGTATGGATGGCGTGTGCGACATTTGCATTTAATAATTGAGGGGTTTTTTTACTGCGGCTTATTGCGTACTACTACACGCTCTTATAACTTTGGAGCCGAATCATGAATAATTAGTGGCTTGTATGGCAGTGGAGCATCTTGTTATTTTCCGGTGTTTTCAACATATTTTCACGAGTTTTACAAGGAAGATTAGGGGCCATATCATGCTCAGTGAGTTTAGAAATATTATCTAACCACCGTTGTCATGACACATTTAATTTCGTACAACTTCGCTAGACATGAAAGTGGACTATCTCGATTAATGTCATGCTACTGCCCTATAGTGTCAAATACTCATAGTATGCGGAGTACTGGGGGATGTATCGTTATCTGAGCCCTATTACTGGCAACGAGCCGGCCTTCTGGCTTCACATATACATCGGAGTAGGCTACAGCGTCATTACCCCAACGCATGCTGGATTCTGCATCCCGGCTTTTATTTTCTTTTCCTCTTTCTGCTGTTTACCTGTGTTACCTTTCCATGCTTGCTGCCTCGCTAAGTACTTTTTCGTCACACTGCAATTCACTAGCTCTGGTAGACCTGATGATCGGAATCGAAGGCATGGAGCACTATCTGAATATTAAGATTCCACTCTCCCTTATCATGACACGATCCTGTTCTCACCTTTAAAATATTGGAGATTTGTAGGATTCCAAATACTCTATACTCCGTAGACTTGGTTGCACCTGAAGCTGAAAACTGTGTTTGAAGGATGCGGAGGAATGTAGTGACTAATCGATCTAGGTCAATGCCAAGACCGGACAAATTTGCCCACCGCCTTCCCGTGAATTTTTTTGATTTCCATTATCACAGAATTCGAGACAAGTCGAAATCTGCAGCAATTAACGCGAACTAGCAAAAATGGTATCTTCAACAGCGGTCACTACCAAGGTGACATCTGGGTCTCCTTATCAACTCGAGAAGAGCCAGGTATGTAATTCTTTCTTTTCTGGTGTGTTCAGTGTCCAATGATCGCAGTAGTTAATGATACAATTTGCAGGTTTCCAAAGCTTCTTCTGCACTTTTGCGTCACATTAAATCCAAGCAGGTGGAGAAGGAGAAGTCGGCGACCAAGAAGACTCTTATTGGAGATAATGATGACTCTGACGACGAAAGCCCCGCCCACAACGAAGCCATCTGGCTCGTTCTCACCACCAAGAAGCACGTCGTTGACAAGAACCGCTTGAAGCCCGGCAAGATTAGCATTCCACACTCTTTGAATGACTCTTCGAACCTGAGCGTCTGCCTTATCACCGCTGACCCCCAACGCGCGGTCAAGAACATCGTTGCCGATCCTTCTTTCCCTCAACATCTCACCTCCCGTATCGATAAGGTTATCGGATACTCGAAGTTGAAGTCTAGATATCAGAGCTTTGAGAGTCGGCGGCAACTCCTCTCGGAGCATGATGTGTTCCTTGCGGATGACCGGATAATCATGCGCTTGGTTAATACTCTCGGAAAGATTTTCTACAAGTCTAGCAAGCGGCCGATTCCTGTTCGCATCGCCGAGATTGAGAAGGTAGATGGCAAGAAGGTGAAAAAGGACCAGAAGCAGAAGAACAAAGACGATGATAGCACTTTCGCTTCTCCCGCTATCGTCGCGAAAGAGATCGAGAGGGCGCTCAACTCCGCCCCTGTCCAGCTTGCTCCCGCTACCACTGCTTCTATCCGGGTTGGTTCGTCTAAGTTTACTTCCGAGCAGTTGGCCGAGAATGTGGACGCTGTTGTCAAGGGCTTGACGGAGAAGTATATCACGAAGGGTTGGAGGAACATTAAGGCTCTCCACATTAAGGGTGCCAGCACTATGGCTATGCCGATCTGGCTAGCAAGTGAACTCTGGGTTGAAGATGGTGATGTGGTTGAGAACGCCGCTGAGGACGATGTAAAGTCCATTGGGGGCGCCAAGAACAAGAAGCGCAAGCAGAATGCGGATGATGAGAAGCTTCTTGAGGGTAACAAGAAGTCCAAGAAGCCTAAGGCTGCCGATGAGGATGACGACGCAACCGCCAGGAAAGAGAAGCTTCAGAAGCAGAAGGCCAAGGCCCTGGAAGATGGCAACGTCGCCATGACACCAGAATCCACTACGAAAGCTGGAAGGAAGAAGAGAAAGTCCACTTCATAATTACTACTGCTATGGTGTTCTATGGATTGTATTTGTCAATTGCAACTATGGGTTATCCGACGGCGTACCGATGTCACGTGTGTCGATTTTTGTGATTTAGACATAGGGCGTGTTTGCAATACCCTTTGAAGAAAATAAAAAGTTTTGGTTGCTGCAAAGCTTTTGTTATTTTGCTTTTGTTTATATCATAATTAGAACTGCTATGATATGCTGTACATTCATTCACATTGATTGTGATCAATTCGGTATTCCGTATGTAGCCTTAAGAGGCACATGTATGTAGAACACCGCCTTCAGTTAACCGAGCTCTCCGAGGATCGGCGGGTGCTTGGCGGACCGACAATAACCACCCGCCCGCCAAAAGCGCCGGCAGAACCTCACCTATTATGCAATTACACCTCCTCGTTGGTAGCCCGACAGAGCCCAGAGCAGGTTCTCGTAATTGACACAAGCGTATCATCATGATCCCGATCGCAAGACATTCGGCCCTTCACGCCGTCCGCTCGCAATTCGCTCCGCGGGCTTTCAGCCAACCGACAGCCTCTGCGCTCGCCCGCCTTCTCTCTACCTTGGCCGTCCTCGAACAGCGTGACGGCAAGCTTCAAAACTCGTCTCTCTCTGCGATCGCTGCTGCACAGAAGCTTGGGGGTCCGGTTACTGCCTTTGTGGCTGGAAATAGCGTTAAGGGGACATCCGCTGCGGAGGCCGCTAAGATCAAAGGTTTGGATAAGGTAGTGGCTGTGGATAACGAAGCTTATGAGAAGGTAGGCGACAACTGCATGGTTTCCGGGGAGCGTTAAGGTTGTAGTTCGAAATATATTCTGACGAAGATGGACTATAGGGTCTGCCGGAGAACTATGCTCCTCTTCTCGTTGAGAACATTAAGAAAGGCGAATATACTCATATCATCGGCGGTCACTCCGCTTTCGGAAAGAGTCTGCTCCCTCGTGTAGCAGCTTTGCTGGATGTTCAGCAAGTTTCTGATATCACTGCAATTGAGAGCGAGGACAGTATGTATTATAAAAGCTGGGGAGTTTGGTATTGTAGATGAGTCATCTGTGCTAATTGTTGATGCAGCTTTCGTCCGCCCCATCTATGCTGGAAACGCTATCCTTACTGTTCAGTCTACCGATCCTATCAAGGTTATCACTGTGAGAGGCACTGCATTCCAGAGTGTCGAGACCGAAGGTGGTTCCGCTGAGGTTGTTGATGGAGTTGACTCGAACGCCCCAGCCCAAACTGAATGGGTTTCGGAGGAACTTGCCAAATCTGAGCGCCCCGACCTGGCTACCGCATCCCGGGTTGTGTCTGGTGGTCGTGGTTTGAAGTCGAAGGAGGAGTTCGATCGGGTGATCGTGCCCCTCGCTGATCAGTTGGGAGCTGCCATTGGTGCTTCCCGTGCTGCTGTTGACAGTGGCTTCGCTGATAACAGTCTTCAGGTTGGCCAGACCGGCAAGAATGTTGCCCCTCAGCTGTATCTCTGCGCCGGTATCTCCGGTGCTATCCAGCATCTCGCTGGTATGAAGGACAGTAAGGTAATTGCTGCGATTAACAAGGACCCTGATGCTCCGATTTTCCAGGTTGCGGATGTTGGCCTTGTCGGCGACCTTTTCGAGAAGGTGCCTGAGTTGACTGAGAAGCTGAAGAACCAGGCCTAAAATGGCTCATCATGGTTCTATGTTCTTGTATCATGATTTTCTATTTGTCTCATGCGAGCTTCCGGGGCGAGGTCAATTATACAGTATACCATATAATGTTAGCGCTTGGAAACTGCAACTGGACTCCTATTTACAATACCCTAGACTTGTATCAATCTTCGATAAGCGTCATTCTTGTGTTAATGCATGGATGATATCCTTTAGGACCGATGTAGAGGAGAAAGACATTGCTGCGGAAGTCAAGACAAATGACCCATCCGTTGAATTTACTCTACAAAATCTATGAGTTACTTGATGTTGACCGGAATATCTCTGTAGTGAATTTGACTAAAATACATTTTCTTCCGTAAGGGGACATTGAGATAATCTCTGCTTTACAGATAAATAAAAGAAATTGTTCATCGAATGTCACAAAGACCTGGCCCCGCCACCTTCTAATTAAATCCGGCTAATCTAATACGAGTCCTCAGTAAATCGTCCCGTCAGCATCTTCACATTGCTTCGCTTGCATTATGACAAGACTGATCTTTGGCATCTTGAAATGGGTTGTAGGTAAACAGTCCGGAGATCTCTAATTAGAGAGATTAGGACTTTCATAACAATGTCAAAACGGTTTGTCTCATCATATCATCCATCATCATTGAGATTCGGTGCAATTTTACATAGTTTTTTTTGAATCTCTATACGGATACATGAATACGTAAGGCCAATAGTGCTCACTAAAAGAAAGATCGACTGGCCCAGTGGTTAAGGCGTCTGTCTTACACGTGACCATAACAAGCCCTAACCCTATGGTTACAGCTGATGTTAGGCTCAATACGAGCACAGAAGATCCCAGGTTCGATCCCTGGGTCGATCAATTTATCTTTTTGCTTCATTTTCAGGATCTGATCCAGTCGAACAGGACGTTTTTTCCTTCTCCCTTATCACCCACCTACGAGGAAGCCGGATATGATAGAATTTGATTATTATATATGCTTGTGGCTTTTTGTTACACATTTGATTAATTAACCATGCGCGGCTCTTTCTTGGCGAGACATAAAAAGTCATTTGAAAGACGCCAGGAGTTCGGTGCAAAGACTACCAATACCGCCTTGAGCCTTAGTGGTGGTGGTGGTGGTGGCGTGTCTCAGAAAGACAGTATTATTATTGTACTTATCTATCCATGAGAGGGATGATAACCAATTGAAAGATATTGGTGGGGGAAACTAGTAGTACTTCTTTCTATGTAGGGACTTGTCGTCCGTTTAGACAGACCAATGGGTGCCCACCAAAAGATACTGGTACTGCTGACATTTCGTGTGGCACTAATTCTGTTGAAGGGCTGTCTCCTATCAATGTACTAATAATCGACTCCGCACGGGCAGAAGTGACTTTATGGTCAACTACCTATTTCGGGTTAGCGTGTCACCGTCGGCGCGTCGAGCGCGTCGATATGGGGTACGAAGAACCAGAAAATACCCAAACAGGTCAATTGAGTAGCGCAACCCTGTCAGTATATGAAATGTCCACATGAACGCTTAAATGACATCGCCGCCTCCGTCGTGCCCCCCTTCTTTTGATCCCGCCATAGACCTTCACTCCCAGGGACCAGACGATATAGATCAACACCCGGCGACCGAATCTTTCTCTGACGAAATCGAGGCTATACATCTCCAACGACAAGACAATATCCGCGATAAGGTTGTGATACTAGACCGAGCTTGGAATCTGTCGGATGCGTTTCGGAGTGATGAGGATATCAGACCTGGTATGCTCTGCTCATAGAAATATATATATATTGGGAATGTGATGTGTTCTGACGAGGAAGTAGAAACTCCGACGAAGCCTTGCAGAAGACCTCTATTGAAAGACGTGACCTCTCCTACTCGCTCATTTGTTCTTTTACCATCCTCGCCCCCTATTGCTAAGATGCCGTTTATATCGTCTCCAGTTGTCTTTCCATCGAGTGCTCCGTCGCCGACGGATCCGCAGAAGAGGAAGAATGGAGAAGAGTCTCAGTCCACTGAGCCCAAGCGGCAGAAGATTATGGGAGGATTCTTAGATGATGATGATGACGAGGAAGACGACATGGATGCCTTTGGAGAAGCCCATCTGCGGAGCCAATTCGAGATCGAAGATCAGCTTATCGAGCAACTCCCGACAGCGTCGACAGAAACCCTGAAACTTCCCCAGTTCACTCAGACTTCAACATCTACCCCTGATACGCCTCCGGCTCTGACCACAACAACGCCTACGTCTTTCGGTTCGTCACTACGAGGGCCCGCGTCGATTCAGATTAAGACCTGCTCGGGCAAGTCACACAGCGTGCGTTCAAGGAAGACTACAACCCCAGTGTCCTACGAGAGACTAGTCGCTAGCCGCTCTATCACGGCTCCTGGAAGAGCACAGAAGAGTTACTATGGTATTGATATACATAAGCTAATGGACGACGCAGCAAAGGATGACGAACAGTCTAAAGCGTCCAAATTACTACCTACACCTACAGTACAACCTTCAATTGAGGGCCCCGATGGGACCCACAAGACCACAAAAGTCGCAACAAAGATGTGGACTGAAAAGTATCGCGCTCGCAAATTTACCGAACTTATCGGAGACGAGCGAACACACCGCTCTGTCATGCGCTGGTTGAAGGGCTGGGAATCCATCGTTTATCCGAACCTTGCTAAACCAAAGCCAAAGAGGCCAGGTAATCAGAATGGTGAGGAGGAACGAACACACCGAAAGGTATTGCTGCTATGTGGACCTCCAGGTCTTGGAAAAACAACGCTAGCCCACGTTTGCGCCAAACAAGCAGGCTACGAGGTGTTGGAGATCAATGCTAGCGATGAACGAAGCAAGGATGTTGTCAAAGGCAGGATTAGAGATGCGCTCGGCACGGAAAATGTCAAGGGAATGAATGTGGAAGTAGGCGATCAAAAAGTTCGGAAAGCTGCGCGCCCCGTCTGTGTTGTCGTTGACGAAGTAGATGGCGTTGTTAGCGGATCTGGTGGTGGTGGAGAGGGAGGTTTCATGAAAGCATTGATTGATCTGGTTCTCCTCGATCAAAAGAACTCGTTGCGCTCATCGGAAGAAAAAATGACCGGGAAAAGAAGGAAAGGCGACAAATTTCGCTTTCTGCGGCCCCTTATTTTAGTTTGCAACGACGTATACCACCCCAGTCTTCGACCGCTAAGAGCATCTTCTATTGCTGAGGTGATCCATGTGCGCCAAGCACCATTAGAGAATGTGGTCTCGCGCATGAAGAGTATCTTTAGTTTGGAAGGTATCGCGGCCGATAACGACGGAGTGAGAAGGCTATGCGAAGCATCGTGGGGCGTTGCTCGAAGGAAACAGGCCAATTCCAAGAACAGCGGAACGGCCGAGGGTGACATTCGAAGCGTCCTTGTAGCCGGAGAATGGGTGGCTCATAAGCTCAAATACGAAAACCCGGAGTCCATGCGTTTAACAAGAAGATGGCTTGAGCAGAATATTCTTAATGACGCTACGGGGGATAACACATTCTTCAAAGGCCTGAGTCGTGGAGGCGTGCGGGATATTATCGACCGAGTTTTTACGGAAGGAGCCGGGTTTACTGATGCACCCGTTGGCTTTGAGTCCTTCCGTGATCCTTTTGATGATGGCAATGCGAAAGCCCCCGTGGGTGTGGGGGACCTCAAGAAACGCCACGCTGCCAACAGGCTACGTGAAATGGTTGATGCTAGTGGCGATTACGACCGCTGCATCACGGAGTGTTTTACTTCGTATCCTTTGCAGACATTCCAGGATGATACGTTCCTTTCCAAGCCCAATGCGGCTTATGACTGGCTACACTTCCATGACACCGTCTCGTCTAAAGTTTTCTCTAATCAGGATTGGGAGCTAACACCATACCTCAGTCAGTCAGTTGTGGCATTCCACCATTTCTTTGCCTCAGCCTATGGCAAGCGCCGTATCAACGAGGTTAACGATGAGGATGGAGAGGAGCATCCATTTTCTGGTCCTAGGGCAGAGTTTGCGGCACTCGAGGCTTCAAAGCAGAACCGTGCTATTGTCACGGGCTTTCAGTCTTCGTTATCTGCGCCGCTTTTACGGCTGTTCCGAGCCACTGATTGTCTGGTCACTGACCTTGTCCCGAATCTCATACGGATCCTTTCACCTGATGTAAAACCGGTTGTTGTACGGGGAAGTGGGGAACAGAAAAGTGTGGCCAGTGTGCGTAAAGAAAGTGAGCGGGCTCTCGTGCAGATCGCCATCCGTGTCATGAGAGGGCTTGGTGTGACATTCGAAAAAGTGCGGGTCGAAGGGGAGGGCGGTGCCCACGGCAGGTGGGCATATCGCATGGAACCGTAAGTAATCATGGGCCTCTCAGACATCCTGTTTGTTTACCAGACTAACAATGACCTTCCAGACCGTTGGATTCACTCGTGTTGTTCTCAAAAATCACCCCTAGCACAACTAGCGCTAGGCCAGTCCGCTACGCCGTTCGCCAAGTTCTCGACCAGGAATACCGCAAAGAGACTATGCGGAAACAATCAGAAGCTATAGGATCGTCTAGGAAATCAGCCCGTAAGTCTGCGGACGGTCAAACGCAGGACGATGAGCAAGGGACGAAGATGTCAGTCAGGGAGCCTGGCGTCAAACGAGACTTTTTCGGCCGGATAATACGCGAACCTTCACCGCAGCCAGCAAACCCAAATGAGAACTCAGTACAAAATGAGGCTTCAAAGGTAGGGAGAAAGGCTTGGGTGACGTACCACGACGGGTTCTCCAACGCCGTGCGGAAGCCTATCTCGATGAGCGAGTTACTTGCGGGACTTTAGTATATATATACCTCGTGATGTTGACATCTTAGCCTTAATATGAAGATTTCATGACTATACACGAGCTCTTCATTGTAAATCTACGTGATGTTTGTCAGGCGCGTCATAGATTGTAGCCTAGACACGTACTACTCAACCCTCGCACCCGATAGTAAAACATGGTATAAATCACAAAAAATCAATTATCATATAGCTCTAAAGACAGAAGTTGTATAATTAAAATGGTATTAGGCAACAGCAAGAGAGGAACGAATGAATTCAACCCCGAAGCGAGACTCTTCCAAGCCAAACAGTATTATAATCCAATGTAATGTTGCACCCAGACTCCCAATCCAAACGCAAAGAAGCGCAAGCGCAAATAAAAACCCGGGTAGATGCACCAGGCAACAGGGCACGTCATCAGTCGAGTCGTCATGTTTTTTCATGTATGCATCCCAGCGTATTAATCCGCCGATCCCTTCTATCCCTTGAATATAATGTGATATATCTCCTCTCCTTGTCTCATGACCGGTATCGAGCTTCACCGCAAAGCGATGTAAGAGGCGATGGCTTCCTTGTGTAGCGCTTCCTTCTTGGTGTCCCTGGCTGTTTTTGGCTTAGGGCCCTCTATCTTGGACTTCAGGGAGAACCACTTCTTCTTTGGGACCTCGTTGTCCTTGCCCTTTAGGGTTGTGGTGGTGGAGAGGAAGGAGTAGGTGGATGCGGTGTCTTCTGAGACGGTGGCGGTGGACCTGGATGATTTGGCAGACATTTTTGCTTTTGTCCCTGAAGGTTTGATGGGAGGATTGGTTGGTTTGTTTATGGGGAGGAGTTGGTTGTGGAATGGAATGTTGGTTTGGTCTGCTTTGTATAGATCCAAGATTCGGGGTGTGTTGGCGTGGATATAGCAATAGCAATGAGGTATTCAATTGATAATGACTTAGTAACTTGAAGTAAACAGTGATTGATTGATAGACTGTGGAATTCAAAATAGGGAGACATCCCCAGATCTATATATACCTATTTTTTGTCTTCTCCAAACCCTCTGCCTCATACATATATTTTCATTCCGTACTAT